GAGCATTGCAATGTTCATAATCTAGTGGTCCCTATAGTGCTTATAGGAATACATTGGTCCAATCTGTTCTTTCACACCTACTGAACCTGATTCACCATCAATCTGTGCCTCATTGTTTGATCCTTTCGCCTTCACCCAGGCTCGGCAGGCTGGCTGCCAGAGCCTCTCAAGCGACCTGAGAGAGAGTTCATTGCCTGTAAGAGATCAGTCACGTGGGCAGAGTAGCATCCTTTGGGCAGAGATAAAATTTGGCTTTCTTAGTACTTTTCTGGATTGAAATATCTACTAATGCTTGCCAGGACAAACTCCTCAAAACTCTCCACCTGGGCCTCCTTTTCCATGTTCTCATGAAATTGATGAATCAAGGATTGATGAATTAACTGTGTGTCAGTGATGTCTCCCTATGGTTTGCTTTATAAAACTACATGGATAGAAAAAAAATCAAGATTGGATTGTGTCCTTCAGAGAAGTTTAACAATTGAGATGGATCACTAAACCTGAGTTACCCATTTAGAGCCACTGGCTGCCTGTTTGTCACGGCAGCTGCCAATAGATGAAGAAAGAGGCCAGCGTGGGTGAGTGGCTACATGTGCATCAGGGGGACAAGGCTGTGAGCCTACCTTACCTAAAATTGAAAGGTGAATTGAAGTTCTCATGGAACATTTCCCGGGCAATGCCATCTCAACAGACAACTGATGGTCCCTATAGCTCCTTGGTCCTCTTAGGAAGGCAAATTTTGCAGTTTTTTGTTAAATATTTTCTAATTAAGCTTTGCTAGTATTCTGAGCTTTTCAGTTATCATGGCTTATCCCATTGTTATTTATTTTATTTTATTTTATTTTATTTTATTTATTTATTTTTAATTTACATCTAAGTTAGCATATAGTGCAATAATGATTTCAGGAATAGAATCCAGTGATTCATCCCCTACACATAACACCCAATGCTGATTCCAACAGGTGTCTTCCTTAACTCCCCTTGCCCATGTAGCCCATCCCGCACCCAACCCCCCTCCAGCAACCCTCAGGTCTCTGTATTTAATAGTCTCTTATGTTTTGTCCCCCCCATTTTTATATTATTTTTGTTTCCCTTCCCTTATGTTCATCTGTTCTGTATCTTAAATTCCACATATAAGTGAAGTCATATGATATTTGTCTTTCTCTGACTGACTCATTTCACTTAGCATAATACCCTCTAGTTCCATCCACGTTGTTCCAAATGGCAAGACCTCATTCTTTTTGATTGCCAAGTAATACTCCATCGTATATGTATACCACATCTTCTTTATCCATTCATCCATCAGTGGACATTTGGGCTCTTTCCATACTTTGGCTTTTGTCGATAGTGCTGCTATAAACATTAGGGTGCATGTGCCCCTTCAAAACAGCACACTTGTAGCCCGTGGATAAATGCCTAGTGGTGCAATTGCTGGGTCATAGGGTAGTTCTATTTTTAGTTTTTTGAGGAACCTCCATACTGTTTCCCAGAGTGGCTGCACCAGTTTGCATCCTCACCAACAGTGCAAAACGGCTCCCCTTTCTCTGCATCCTCACCAACATCTGTTGTTGGCTGCGTTGTTAATTTTAGCCATCCTAACAGGTGTGAGGTGGTATCTCATTGTGGTTTTGTTTCGTATGTCCCTGATGATGAGTGATGCTGAGCATTTTTTTCATGTGTCTGTTAATGGCTTATCCCATTTTTAGAAATTTCTTAATCAACAGAATCTCATACAATGATATTTTTCAAAATTTGGATGAGGTCCCATGGGGGGATCTGTGAAGCCTCCTACCAAACTCTTTAGAGTAAGTTGGCTGATAAAAGGTAGGATGCCAGAAGCCAGGGGCTTCAGCCCCATTGGGGGCTGTTTCTATGGGTTACTTAGCTCTAGTACTTGGCCCCGAGAATCTAATTCACTTGTCCAGGGTACCACCTACAGGACAGCAGCTGCTGGCCCTTTCCTTGCATTTATAGAGGATAAACATAATTTATCAAAATACTATTCTGATTGGGCCTATAAGTAGGACAGAATAAGACAGAAATCAGGGGTGGCCTGAAGGCCACTTTCTAGATCAAACAAAAGAAGAAAAATGTCCGAAAGCAAGGTCAGAGCCATGAGATTAATAATGACAGAGATGAAAAAGCAGGTGCTATCGGTGATATGTCAAAAGGAATTTGGGAGGCAATAGGCGGGGTCTTGGGAGTGATAATCAGTAACTGAAGGAAAGGGAAACTAAAGTTGCCAAATGCTGAGGGAGCAGCTGAAGCAGGAGTCAGGAACTCAAAAATTAAGTCCTAACAAAGGCCATGAGGATTGGAAGAAGATACATTCTCTGCTCTCTGCTCTTGGATCCCGGAATCTCCTCTGTGCAGACAGATGGCTTCTGGATCTACATGTCTGGCTCAGACTTTTTTTCCTTAGATTAAGTCCTTCAAATCACATTGTTCTTTATACTGTCCAATATAAATGAAGCATTTCTATAGGATGCAAATGGAAAGCGAAGGAAGTAGATGTCCTGGTTTTAACCAATCGGAGGAGCAGAAATTACCCCTGGCCATCAATAGAGAGATAGATTTGGAGACCAAATTGCCCTTTAAAAAACTTTATTAACCAACTACTTTTTAAAATTGAGTAATCTATCGTAAGCATTTTCCTAATCATTAAAGGCATTCATGTAAAAAATTTATTCAAGTGTAATGTACATACATAAACTTGCACGTATCTTAAGTGTACAATTTGAAGGGTTTTCATAAACTGAACACATACATCCATGTAGCTAGCTCCTCAGACGTGCCTGTATACAAGCATTCATTTTTTTAATGGTTTTATTATTTTTTAAATTTATTTTTTGAGAGAGAGAGAGAGAGAGAGAGTGCAAGTGTGAGCGGGGGAGGGGCAGAGAGAGAGGAAGACAGAGGATCCAAAGCAGGCTCCCAGCTGACAGCAGAGAGCCCCACGTGGGGCTCAAACTCACAAACCTTGAGATAATGACCTGAGCCGAAGTCGGACGCTCAACCAACTGAGCCACCCAGGCGCCCTCAACCATTCATTTTTAATAGCTCTATCATAGCCCATCGTAATTGCTTAACCATTCTCCTAATGCTGACTTTTTTTTTTTAATGATAAATAATGTTGCAATGGTTATTTATCTTTCTTCCCAACCTATAACACCACCACTACCATCCCACTTGCCTGTCTGGGTCGGATTCTAGGGATGTCCTTCCAGCAACGTGCTTGTAATGGTCTTAGAGTACTTTAACATCCCCTTGGCAACCTACTGCTTCCCCTTGACTATCCCCAACCTTGGAAAATCCTGTTTGTCCACATTGTCTCCTCTGGGCTATTGAGTGCAGTGCCGGAGGGTTAAGGCCACTACAAATTCCTGCCATCTGTTCAGGGCCCTCACTGCTTGTTGTGCTATATTCTGTGTGTGAAGATCGGGCTGTTTGTTTGCTGTCTGTTAGTGAGTGATATTGACACAGCTTTTTTTTTTTAAGTTTATTTATTTATTTTGAGAGAGAGAGAGCTTGAGTGGGGTGGGAGCAGAGAGAGAGGGAGAGAGAATTTCAAGCAGGCTCCATGCCGACACAGCACAGAGCCTGATGTGGGGTTTGAACTCACAAACTGTGAGATCATGACCTGAACCGAAATCAAGAGTCAGATGCTTCACCAGCTGAGCCACCCAGGAGCCCCGACACAACTTTCTGAATGATCTATAACTTCTGACTGTCTTCGTCAGGTTTTAAAAATTAGAAGCTCACTTGCAAGTTTAAATTTTGTAAAGAATGAAAATGGTTGGTTTGGGAAGATTAGATGCTGTGCAGTGCTTCCCATGGTGCAATAAACGGAGTCAGCAGATGATTTTAAGTGGGACACAAACGATTTGTATGTATTCCTTTTAGTAAATATGAGAATAAAATGTAATTAATGCACTAAACTCGATTTTCACCAATGCCATTGCTTAGAAAGAGGGTAAGTTTTTAAAGTAAGCTGAGCTAAAATTGATTTGAAGAGAAATTGTAATTCTGTAACATGCCAGGTGGCCCACAGATGTGAAAACGATCGTTATGTGACTGTGGCTTCACTACCACTGGAGGTCTCGACAGCTTTCTCTTGGGGTATTTTAAGTCCTAACAGAGGAAGAAACGGAGACAATTATTTAGGATGTGCCAAGAAAAGGGAACTGGACCCTCAACGTTGTACTAAAATAGGATTTACTTCTTGTTCTTGGTCTCTTTGTGTGACATATTTCATGGGTCAGTTTTGCACTTAACAATTATGTAAGTGCTTATCAAGCCTCAGCCAGATTTTCAATTTATTAACATATTCTGAGATAATATCAGCCTTTCCATTCTGAGACCAAATTTTTCAAATTACTTATGGATCAGCATGAGTCTCTAGTTCATGTAACAAACCCACACAATTATATGATTTAGAGGGTTTTTGTTGTTGTTGTTGTTTTTAAAGTAATCTCTACACCCAACACGGGACTAGAACTCACAACCTCGAGATCAAGAGTCACATGCTCTAGTGACTGAGCCAACCAGGCGCCCCTGACTTAGGTTTTTGTTTTTGTTGTTTTTGTCTTGCTGAACTCATGGTCCAGGATCAAGTGGACCAACTGGACACTCAATGTTTAGGTGTCCATGTATATACTGTTTGTCATTTGGTTCACAGTACCTAAAGTTTTTATCTATCCCCTTACCTAAATGTTGTTTCCACACCTACACTGTAAGCCCCAAGGGAAGAAACCATGTCTTTGTCTCTTTTTTTTTTCTTTTTGGGGGGACTTTGGTACCAGTATAATAGCTTGTTAAAGTAGATGCCCAAATTTCTATGGCAAGACATGAGGTATACACATCCAATACTTGGGAAAAAAAAAAAAAAAAAAAAAAAAACCTTCTAGTATGGAAAAGTTCAAGCATATGCATCATCAACACACCATCTGGCACTTTTTAAACTCTATTTCATGGATGTATAAGATGAAGGCTGGGGAAAGATATCAGGTCAATTTATGCTTTCTCTTCGCTAATAGAAAAAGCAAAACACAATACACCATGGGAAAGACACTGTTGTAAGAATTACACAGCAGCCAGAGAGAGGAGAGGCTCCTGACCTCCACCGCCAGCATGATATAGGCAATGATGAGCTGGGTGTGGGCCCAGGTGACAGTTCTATACAGCAGCTGCATTGGCCAGGATCTGATAGACAAGTTGGCAAAGGTGTGGATTAGGTAATCAGCTTCCACCATCAGAGCCCAGCAGAGGAAACCAAACACCTGTCCTGGATGGAGCCCGTGCCACCAGGCAGAGAAGGCAAATGTCTGCAGCAACGGCCGGGCCCTGCCGTGCTGGTATATGAGGCGTCTGAGCCACCCAGCTGTGCTTTGGTTCCACTTTCTCGTGAACAGGGATATCCTGTGGGTTGTTTCCAGTGTCCAAATGTCCGCATCAGGGACGTATCCCTCCCCAGCAGGGCTCTGACCAAATTCAGGTCCAAAGCCTGCTGCATGGAGGAGCGCATCATCCAGGATCCAGCAGGAATAGTAGGTGAGTTTGAAGAGCTCGGCTGTGGACCACATGACACGGATGCACTGGAGTTGCCGGCAGTCAGTCAGACCTGCTCCTGCACCCACCACCTTCCTCAGGACCACCTTTAGGCACTCGAGGCCCAGAATCTGCAGACCCATCCGGGTCAGAGCCCAGACAGAGCGCCTGGGACCCAAACTGCTGGACCCTTGAACACGAGCCTGAAATCTCTGGAAGGAACACAGGGAGCCTCCTAGGAGAGCAGGGAAAAAGATCAAGTAGCTGAAATAGGGCAGTGTCTTCCACAGATGTTCAAGAACAGAGCTTCTGCCCCTGATGCCTCTTGCTTCTGCCTTCACTTTTCCCTCACAAAGGTCCAGAGAGAGGGATGTGACCCTCTGGGTCAAGAGCATGAGGGAGGAAAGAGTGATGCAGAACCTGAAAGAGATTTATTTAAATGTGAAAACGCTCCCCATATTTATTTCATCCCAGTCCAGTCCCTCACACATGACCCCACAGCAGATAATAGCTCTGAATGATCAAGACCGATGTCCTGGCCTACAGTGCCCCCACAAAGACTCTTAGATTAGTTCAGACCACAAGCTACTCTGGGCAGGATCAAGAGGTAAATGGGGAAATCGGGGCACCTGGGTGGCTCAGTCGGTTAAGTGTCTGACTTCGGCTCGGGTCATGATCTCATTGTTCAGGAGTTCAAGCCCCGCATTGGGCTCTGTGCTGACAGCTCAGAGCCTGGAGCCTGCCTTGGATTCTGTGTCTCCCTCGCTCTCTACCCCTCCCCCGCTTGCACTCTGTCTCTCTCTCCCTCAAAAATAAACATTAAAAAAATTTTTTTTAAGGTAATGGGGAAATTAATCATGAATCCGAGAGGCAACTAAAAGACTGACAAGGAATATCGTGGGGAAATATTGATTATAATATTTCTAAGAATGGCCTATACAGATTAGGATCAGGGACCTGGAAGAAATTTGCCATGGAAGAAACAAAAATTTAGTACTGAAGAGACTATAGTAAAGCAGAGGTTTTGAATATGAACCGGTCCCTGATAGTAAGATTTTGCAGGCTGTGGTTTCTGTGCTGAGGAATGTGAGTCAAGCTAGGGGTTCGGGGTGTGCACTGAGTCATTAGCAATTTGAGGGGTGTTCTTAACCAATCACCTGAACTGCTCTGGCTTCAGTGTCACAAGGTAGAGAAGATACTACTGGCAAAGTTATTGTGGAGAAAATTAAGGAAAATTATATGGTGCACTCTACAATCAGGGTTGCTGTCCTGTGGAGAGAAAATGGCACTGTTTCCCAAATGCTGCTGTTTCATTCTGTGAGTCTGAGGATTTAAGGACAAGTGACCTCATCTGACTTATCCAAACAGTAAGTAAAATTGCCTCCAAATGCCACCAACCCCTGTTCACATTCCTTCTGTTGGGGTGGAATGTGTTCCCCGTAAATTCGTATTTTGAAGCCCTATCTCCCAGTCCCTCAGAATGTGACTGTATTTGGAGACGAGTTGATTAAGTTAAAATGAGGTCATCAGGGGCGCCCAGGTGGCTCAGTTGGTTAAGTGTCTGACTTTAGCTCAGGTCATGATCTTGTGGTTCATGGGTCTGAGCCCTGCATCAGGCTCTGGGCTGACAGCTCAGAGCCTGGAGCCTGCTTCCGATTCTGTGTCTCCCTCTCTCTCTGTTCACACTCTGTCTCTCTCTCTCTCTCTCTCTCTCTCTCAAAAATAAATAAACATTAAAAAAAAATTTTTTTAATGAGGTCATTGGGGTAAACCCTAAACGAATATGACTGGTGTCCTTATGAGAAGAGGATATTAGGGCACAGACACACACAGAGGAAAGACCAGATGAGGACACAGGGGGAAAGAGCCATCTACAAGCCAAGGAGGGAGGCCTCAGAAGAAGCTGAACCTGCCAACACCTTGATCTTGAACTTCCAGCCTCCAGAGGAAGTAAGTTTCTGTTGTGTGAGCCACCCAGTCTTCATTACTTTGTTATGACAACCAGAGCAAATCAGCACATCTTCCCATTTCAGCTCTGGCTCAGCCTTCCTTCCGTCAACCAGATCCCGTTTAACTTGCTCCTCCAGCCCCTATCAGGTCCTGGCTTCCCACTGAAATGCTAATTCACCACACCCTAGTCAGTACTCCCCATTCCCTACCGGCTGCCATCTTGCCTCTTCTTCTGAGAAGCAAACCCTAAAGCCTTTGGTGAAGACAGTGAGGATAAAGAAAAGGATTCTGGGTGTGGCAGGGATGGCAAAATGAGTGAAGCAATGGCAAGCTAGAATCAGACTGGTGACCCACCTCGACAGGTTCTGTGAGTGACCATGGACCCACGCCAATTGTGATAACAGAGGGAGCCAGGGACCACAGGCCTCAAGAATACAGACATACCTGTATTAGATACCTCTAATCTTGGTGATCTCAGGGACTCATGAAAACATTTCTTTAGACTGATTCTTTTTCCTACACTGGGTGACCACCCTTCTGGGACGATGGAATAGCTGAGTCTCAATGAAAGCAAAACTCTTGGGGCACCTGTGAGTCTCAGTCAGTTAAGCATCCAACTCCTTTTTTTTTGTTTTGTTTTTTTAATCATTATTTATTTTTGAGAGACAGAGAGACAGAGTGCGATCAGGGGAGGAAGAGAGAGAGAGGGAGACACAGAATCTGAAGCAGGCTCCAGGCTCCAAGCTGTCGGCACAGAGCCTGACACGAGGCTTGAACTCATGAACCATGAGTTCATGACCTGAGCTGAAGTTGGACGCTTAACCAACTGAGCCACTCAGGCACCCCGGCATCTGACTCTTAATTTCAGCTCAGGTCATGATCTCACAGTTTGTGAGTTCGAGCCCTGCGTTGAGCTCTGCACTGACTGTGTGGGGCTTGCTTGGGATTTTCTCTCTCCCTGTCTTTGCCCCTCCCTTGCTCCTGCTTGCTCTCTCTCTCTCTCTCAAAATAATTGAATAAACATTAAAAAAAAAAAGAAGCAGCAGCAAAACTCTTGCACAGCAGCTTCCATGGGAAGGTAGCAAAGGTTTACAGTGGATTGATATCTTCCTGGTCCTATTAAAGGGGAGGAGAGGCCGCTGGCCGTGTGTCTAAACCACCAACTCTGAGTTCAGCAAATAGTGCTTAGTCACTTCAAGACAGGCCTCATCCAGGGGCCCTGGGACCCCTGGTTCAACGCCCTTTCAGGCACAATGTTAAGTACAGCTAAGTGCCAGATACTGTGCTACACAGGCAACACATGGTAGTTATTTATAGTCACATCACTACATTTATATACATTATCTCTAACATCAAAGATTTGCATTCAGAGACATAAACACACATATACACATACACGCACACTTTTTTTTTTAGGAAAAGAAATGGAGGCTGAGAGGTTAAATGACTTGCTTAAGGTCACACTGCTCAGATGTGCAAGAACTGAGATTCAAACTCCACACTCAGGGTCTCTCCACGTACCCCAGGCACAAGCAAAGCCTTGGCTGGTTTAATACAGCCAAGGGAACAGGCCGCTTTACCTCATGGAAGGACGTTCTTGCAGGTAATATTCAGTATAGTGCAGACCCAGGTGACACAGCGTCTGCCAGCTCATCTGAAAGAAGAAAGCCCACCTGTGGACATCCCGGGGACCGAGAGAGGAAATCAGAACCCCGGCGCACAGAGCAGGGATGAGGACAAGCACGGCGAAGGAACCCATAGCAGCCCAGGCCAGGGCCCCGCCTCCAGCCAGGAGAAAGAGGTACCTGGAAGAAAAAGGACAAGTGTGAGACTGACTTGGAACAGCGTGACAGATGAGTCACTTCAGATGTCATTCTGGAGAATCCCGTGTAACACCTAAGGGAGCCATACTGTTATCACTCCAAAGTCTTCTTTTTGTTTTTCTGAGGGAAAGAACCCTGGGAGAAAAAGCCAGAGTCCATTTGAAAACACCTACCTCCGGAAACAAATTTTGATACCCACCATTCAAGTGGGAACAACACCCTCCCCTGACAATCCTGTGGGTGACAGCTCTGGAAGGTTCCCTGGTGGGGACATCTTAAAAAATCTAGTGGTTTGCTGGGGCACCTGGGTGGCTCGGCAGGTTGAGCATCTAACTTTGGCTCAGGTCATGATCTTGCAGTCTGTGAGTTCAAGCCCTGCATCAGGCTCTGTACTCAGAGCACGGACCCTGCTTTGGATTCTGTGTCTCCCTCTCTCTCTCTCTCTCTCTGCCCTTCCCCCCTTGTACTCTGTCTCTGTCTCTCTGTTTCTAAAAAATAAACATTAAGAAAAAAATTTTTTTTAATCTAGTGGTTTGCTGCCTGACTGAAAAGTGA